CTTAAGTATGGCCACGTCGCGAATGTAACGTATGCTCCCTACAAATATTGGTTGTTCCAATTTACATGATCCTAACAAAGCGCCACCAGCATGGATGTCACAATTTATTTATTTTTTAGAACAAACGATAGTATCTACGATAAGGCCAACTCCAACTCTTGGTGTAAGTCTCAAAATTTGGGTTCCTCCCAAAACACAAAATGACACACCCCGACCCGGAATGTCCACTAGGACTCCGAATCGAGCTGTGCTGGCCGACACCTGGAAGGTGGCGAAGCCATAAAATGTGATGATGTGGAAAAATGTGAATAAATTTAAACCTAAGAGTGCCTAAATACCCGAATGCACTGGTGAGTGGGAGTGAACCCACTTCACATGTGACATTAGAGCATAAGCAAGTACAGAAGAGTGAATTAAGAATCGTACCCTCGAGATAATCTCCAATATTAAGAATTGCCACGAATCTTCGACGATAAGAAAACTCAGCTAAGAAAACCTAGGTGAAGACAAGCCAAGGGTGAGTGGCCCTGTAAATAAAATTTTAATAGAAACCATATAAACCATTATAACCCCTCGCTACAACACTTGTATAATTTCCAAAAAAATCATAAACATACCACAACACAGCATCTCGTCAGCAATATCAAAAAATCATGTGATTAATAACTCATACTAGTACGCAAGTTGGAGTCACCTATGGTGACCTGTACGACCTACCCGTATTTCATCACATATACTAGTTCATCACATATGCTAACTTATCACGTATTCATCACGTCTGCTAGCTCATCACATATTTATCACATATGCTAGCTCATCACGTATTCATCACATATGCTAGCTTATAAGTCGAAGTCACCTCTAGTGACCTGTATGACTTATTCATATCTCATCACATATCTCATCACATGTCTCATCAATCATGGCTAGCATGTAAGTCGGAGTCGTCTATAGTGACATGTACGACACAACGCCTGCAAATGAGTCGGAACCACTATAGTGGTTTGTACGACTAGACTGGGTGTAAATGAATATGCTCAAGTGCTACGATCACGTGAAGAGTCACCTACAAGTCGGAACCACCTATAGTGGTCTGTACGACAGACATGTGCACCTACCTTGAATTCAAGGTGAGCATATGGTGTGGGAGGTGAACATTACGTAAAGGGTTGTGCCCTGACCACGGGCGGGAGCACTAACACCGGGGTGCATGTTTATGAGCTTTAAATACATCTAGTACAACATGTACGACTCATAAGCAACCTATACGACAATGCCGGAGTTGCCTACTATTGCAACCTATACGACAGTGTCGGAGTTGCTTAAAATATAAATGTAGTCATACCATAACCCCATTAATTCAACTAATACCGTATACTTACCTGAACTTACATGCGCCTCCTCAGCATCATTTAGCATAACATAATTCAAAACAATGTAACACTTCGAATATAACACATTTTAGACATAGCATGAAATGCATAACTCAACTTAAAACATTTCTGGAAACCATAAAGCATATATGTATATATGTATATGTATATGTATATGCATATACATATACATATACATATACATGTATATGTATATATATATATATATGTAATGTATATGTATAAACAAATGCCCACTCACATTGCTCAATTCCCCAAACAATGCTATTGTCTCAATTATTTAGTCTCATTTATTATATAGTTGCATCTAATGTCTTGCTAGACTGTCTCAAGCCATTTGTAATTCACAATAATCGTAAGCCATAATTATAGACATTTATGAAATTATCAATCACATATATATATATATATATATATATATATATATAAAATATACGATGGAAAGGAAAAGACCCACTCACCTGAGGCCCATGCTATGATTCTCTAGCACCCACATCGAGGCGTCCCGAACGATTGGTGCCTATGGCCAAGGTCAATTTGGCCTGGAAAGGCTCCAATTTCATCAAACCCGCCGGAAAACCCTATGATTTGGGTGTTTCCAATTCGACTCCAAAACTGTTCCAACGCCCCAACCAATGCTTGGGCTTTATTCCAGAGTTCAAGGAGAACCTAATGGTGGAGGAAATTGATGGGATTTCATTCAGGATTTGATGAATTTTCCCCAAAAGTTCCGCGGCATCGTGGCCACATACACCATGAAAAGGACATCCTTGCTTCGAATCTAAGGGTGATTAACTAAGGAGGAGGAGCATGATGATGGTTTTAGGTGAGGGAAGTCCTAATTCGCCAGAAAAATGGTGAATATTGCTTCGAAATCAACTCGGGGTGACCGGTTTTGGAAATGGGTCATGGGTTGGGGATGGGTCAAGGAGAAAGGGCGGGTTGGGTGCTCTGCACCTCCCTCATTTCCTCTCCTTTTCCCTCATCTCATTGGTCTCTCTCTAACTCTTCCTTCTCCCCCCATTGGGCAATCCCCTTTTCCCCCAGTTTTTTTATTCTCTTTCCCCCTGCCACTCCCGTGGCTTTTCTTCTTATTTTTTATTTTTTACCAAATATATCTAAAAATAATATATAAAAACTAATAAATAGTACTCATACAAGGTACTTCACATATTGTAGTTCTGCAAAACCTCCTTCGTAAATTCGATTTCCATTATGCTTGTGTCTACACGTCCGTATTGTCGAGTACTTCGAAAATACGCTAAAAGAGAAGCTCATACACATCACGGAAGGACGGTCAACAAAAGTCAATATTCTTGCCTCTAGGGCATTTTCGTCAATTCATGCTTTTAAAATTACAACAACCATAATTTTTAGGGACGGGCTGTCACACAAAAACACTCCAACCTTTGACCTAAAAATTAGGTTATGGGTTAAAACTTCAAAATTGGGCAAATTCCAGCCAAATAATAGGTTTGGGTTAGTGGGCTGGCCGGCACACTTATGCGAGTGGAAAACCAACATGTGCACTTCACTTGCCCAAAATCACGCGCAAACACATGCCAACACGCTAGGCCTGCAAGCTGGCAACCCCACCCACCCATGTGGGTTATGTCGGCTACTTGTCTGGCACCCATCAGAGCCCAACGACTCTTTTTCTCATCCAAAGGCTTTGCTTCATTGGAAGGTTCAAATTTGTTTTAGTTTTTAGTTTATATTAAGAAATTTATTGAATCCAATGACTGAGATCGAATATGATTAAATCTAATGGTGAGAAAAAAGATTTAACAGCTAAAATTGAAATCCAACAGCTAAAATAATTTAACTATAAATTCACCTAAAAACTCTATAAATACCTATGTATTTGTTCAAACATCCATGCAAAATTCAATTTTCTCCTACAATTCTTCTAATTTTTCTTTCTACCATCTCCCAAAACCATGTTTTTGTTCATGTGTTTTGTGTTTATACATCTCTATTATGTGTTTCATATTTTTTCATAGTGTTTCATGAGTTTCATGTGTCGGTTTAGTGATTTTTCAATGTTTATCGGAATTTAAATATTTTTAGGTTAAAATGTTCATAAAATTCATTTATGATAGTACACATAATATTTTTTTTTTAAAGTTAATTTTTTTAATTTAAAAAAAATAGCTTAAATTCATTCTTTAATAATCTGGGGCTAAAATTTTAGGCCAGAAGAGTCAGATCAAAAAAGCTAATTTTGAGTTAAAACCTAAATTTTGTGGGCTAAAAATTTTGGGTTTTACTCCAAGGGTTGGAGATGGTCTAAGGGGGTGTGGGAGTGGGCTAAGCCTTTATAATGGGGTGGGAGTGGGCTAAGCCTTATAATGGGTTTGTCATAATAATGTGATTCAAGTTTTTCTTTGGCTATAATCAAACATAAGACTTCTTATTTACAAGTGAAGAGGAATACTACTAGATCGTAGTACTAAGCGGCATTAAATCTGATTCCCGCCATCACACATCTCCATAAATGGCCTTTTTTGTTTGAAATAATTTTTAGGAGCAAAATAAAAAAAAGAAATTGTCGTGTAAGAAGTTCGAACTCTTGCGGGGGATCCCCATGCACTTAACAAGCACACGCCTTAACCACTCGGCCAAAGTGACTGTTGATGACATTGGATGTCACATCCCGGCCCAGGGTCCACCACATTCCGGGCCCGCTCCACCACCGTAGCACGATATTGTCCGCTTTAGGCCCCGACTACGCCCTCACGGTTTTGTTTTTGGGAACTCACACGAGAACTTCCTAGTGAGTCACCCATCATGGGATTGCTCTCGCTTGCTACTGGCTTAACTTCGAAGTTCCGATAGAACCCGAATCTAGTGAGTTCCCAAAAGGCCTCATGCTAGGTAGGGATGGGAATATACATGTAAGGATCACTCCCCTAGGCGATGTGGGATCTTACATTGGAGGCGACTCATCTTTTTTAATTAATTATTTAATTAATCAAAGTGTTTGTTCCTAATTTCCTATCGACGGATATATTGAATATCGATATAGACATCTATAGATTTTAATGGAAAAAATAGAAATTTAAAATGAAATTTTAGGGATTGTCAAACATTGGTTTGGACAAAATATAAAATTTCTCTGATATTTAACAGATATATAAGAAATATCGACGATATATGCCCATTTTTACCTAAACTTAGGAGTTTCTTCGAAAAAATGTGAAGTTTAGACTTAACCCCAATTTCTATATCTTCTGTAATTTTTTTAATATTTCTACGAAAATATCGACTTTATCGAAGAAATTTTTAAACCATGATTATATCTGATCCACCGCCTATCACACGTCTCCATATTTGCCTTTTCAACTTGAAATAATTTTTAGGAATGAGCCAAGTATTTATCGAAAAATTAAAAATAAACAAAAATTAAAAAGAAATCATCACCTAAGAGGTTCGAACCTTAACCACTCACCCCAAGCGACTGCTGATGACGTTGCAGGCCACTCATCATTTTTAATTAATTACTTAATTAATCAAAGTCTTTGTTCCTAATTTCCTATCGTTTAGTGATCTTTATATTTATCTTCACCCTATTCACAATGTTAGTTGAATTATTTGTGCCGGCCATGACCATATTATGCATTATATATCTTCACCCTAATTTACTCTCATCGCAATAACCTACTCATGCAAGATCATTAGTAGTACCAGTAGTAGCACTAGAAGCAAACAATATAAATCGGTTGCGGCGGCGGCGAATATGGAGGAGGAGCAGATGGCACAGCTGCGCAAGATCTTCCGATCGTTTGACGGCAACAAAGACGGCAGCTTGACCGAGCCGGAGTTGGGGTCACTGCTGCGGTCGCTTGGGCTGAAGCCGAGCCATGAGCAGCTGCAGGCTCTGATTCGAAAGTCGGATACCAACCACAACGGATTGGTCGGGTTCTCGGAGTTCGTGGCGCTGATGAGGCCGGACCTCAACGGACTCTTGCAAGACGACGCCAGGTGCCCGTGTTCGTACAGTGAGGATCAGTTGAGGGAGATGTTCAGCATGTTCGACAGGGACGCCAACGGGTACATCAGCCCGGCGGAACTGGCCCACTCGATGGCCAAGCTGGGCCACCCACTCACGGTTCAGGAGTTGTTCGGCATGATGAACGAGGCGGATACCGACCGCGATGGCCTTATCGATTTTCACGAGTTTTCCAGGGCCATCACCTCAGCCGCTTTCCTTAATATCAATGCTTAATTGAGTGCATATTTTGATAATGAATGAATCAGTATTATTCAAATAGCAACAAGTTCATATGCATCATGCATGTATTGTAATTATTTCCAAAAATACTGAGGTGAATTAATGAGTAGGTTTTTGTTTTTCAATATACTTTTGAAATATGAGAGATATAGATTAGTACTTTTGAAAAGTTCATATTACTTTAGTCTAAAGAAGGCTTTTCAATTGCACTGTACAAATTAACAGTGTTTTGAACCACATTTCAGTTTATTTACAAGATTACCACCGCCTCTTCAGTTTCAGATTGAAAATTTCGATTTATTTATGAAATAGCCACCCCTCAGACTGCACGTGTCGACCATCGTAGAAAGGGTGGGGGATGGAAGCAAACCCGATTTTGTTCCAGAGATCTCTTCGAATACAAACCCATTTTGCTCCAGAGCTCTTCAACGACAAAGTTGATTCGGCGCCTCGCCATCGCACACCTCGCCTTCCCCTAGCCATCGCACACCTCGCCTTACCTTGCCACCGCACTCCTTACGAGAACTCGAATCAATGGTAACGTGCCAATTGTATATATTTTTTGTCGATTTTTATCATTATTCTGGAAATTAGGGTTTGATCTAAATTTTGTGTGGCTATGCTTCAGCCAAAACTCACGGATTAGGCTGAGAGAGATATATATGGGAGGATTTGTGGACGGATTTCAGGGAGAGAGGTGTGGGATGGCAGGGAGAGGAAGGGAAAGGTAGAAGTGAGGCTGCCAAAAAGGGTGTTAGGGTTGATTTTTTTCTCCTCAAATCAATTGTTGGTGTCGGTGATTGAACGAGCATTGGTTAGAGGGGAACTTTGATTTCCTTTGTTTCTGAACTGGAATGGGGTCGATGGGACCATGCTCTTTTGCACGTTCAGATGAGTGATTACAGGGATTTGTGGGTAGGGAGAGTGATTTCAGGGATTGGTAATCCCATCCCGTGTTTTCCCCTCATCTCTGTCGCACTCAATCTCTCTCTAATCCTTTCTCTTTCACTCTCTTGCCATGGATTTGGAGGGGACTGATGGGAGGGAGATGGGCGAGGTAATCAGATTGAGTTTTTTAGGGGGTTTGTGGGGTTTTTTTTAGAGATTTTTCTGTGAAAGCATTGTTGTTGTATGAATTTCTTTTATTGTGGGTTTTGATTGTTTGGTTATAATTTTGGGTATCTGTTTTGGTTTTTTGAATCAGTTTTTGTGTAAGTCAAAGTTTTGTGTGGATGATCGTTGGTTCTAAACGAATCGAGCTACATATATTGTGACATCTCACATCACCCAAGAGAGTGATCCTTAAATGTATATTCTCATCTCTACCTAGCACAAGGCCGTTGGAACTCCGAAGTTAAGCGAGCAGGTGGCCAGAGCACTCCCATGATGGGTGACCCACTGGGAAGTTGCTCGTGAGTTCCCAGAAACAAAACCGTGAGGACGTGGTCAGGGCCCAAAGCGGACAATATTGTGCTACAGTGGTGGAGCGGGCCCGGGAAGTGGTCCGCCCCGGGCCGGGATGTGACAAATTGGTATCAGAGCCAATCCCTGGCCGGAAGTGTGCCGACGATGACGTCGGGCCCCTAAGGGGGTGGATTGTGACATCCCACATCGCCCAGGAGAGTGATCCTTAAATGTATATTCCCATCCCTACCTAGCATAAGACCTTTTGGGAGCTCACTTCGGGTTCCGTCGGAACTCCGAAGTTAAGTGAGAAGGTGGCCAGAGCACTCCCATGATGGGTGACCCACTGGGAAGTTGCCCGTGAGTTCCCATAAACAAAACCATGAGGACGTGGTCGGGGCCCAAAGCAGACAATATTATGCTACGGTGGTGGAGCGGGCCCGGGAAATGGTCCGCCTCGGGCCGGGATGTGACATATATGGCTTTGCTTCCCATCTACTGAAAACGTTACCCTTCTTCGCTCTACAAATTCCCTTCTAACTGTCCACACTTATACAAAACCAAAAACCAATTTTATAAATTTTGATCAGATTTTTCTTCGGATTAGAGAGAGAAAGGTTCATATATTTTTGCTATCTTCGGAGAGAGAGGATTTGAGGTGGGTGGAGTGATGAGTGTTTAGGATTTTTTACGGGAGGGATGAGAAAAGAGTAAAAACGATCAGGAAAGTTGAATTCTTTCTCTGAAATTTCGTCAACACTTTGTAAGAACTCCAATTCTTTCTCTCATATTTCATCCGTTTCTGTTAATTTTTGTAAATTTTCAGATTATGGGTCATTCCTAATTTCCATTTTTTCTTTGGGGTTATGTTATTTTGATGGAAAAAGGCCGTATTAGCAAATAGATAATACTAGCTATTAATGCCCGCGCGTTGCTGCGGGAATACAAATTGACTTTCTAGCAATGTATAAATTTGAGTTAGTATCAATGTAACAGTAATTATTCTAAATAAAATTACCATAGTGAAGGAAAGAATTTTATTTGCTATAGAAAAATTGTAGTTTTGATACCTTATAAAGGTAACTTGTTTAAAATGATTGATTGGGTAGAACTATTGTACCACCTAGAGGAAAGAAAACACAATGAGTTATTGAGATATTCTTATACACAAAAAGAAAACACTTGAAACTGAATGAACAAAATATTCAAACATGGAAAGCACATCATGAGGGATAATCTATCGTTTTTGGCCAAGTGACGAATGATATCTTGAGTACCGAGAGAGAAAAAAGTAGTTCAACATTATTTTATGATACATGTTGGGTTAGTCTTGTATTTCACTTTATTTATACAATAGACTACTGATATGATTACAACCCTGCCAATATCACCCCTAGTATTGGGTGTCCATCTAATCTAACTTAAATTTCTTCTTCAATCTTGGATATACATAATGCTACAGTTTAAGTTTTACTAGACAAAAAAATTGTCAGCCTAAATGAGTATTTAGTTTTATAAATAGATGATAAAACTGCAACTTAGTTGAATCAAAGACAATGAAAATTGAATATTATTTACCATAAACTGACATGCAAATTTAAATGGAAGAATGCAAATGAAGAGAATTCGCTTCATCGTGTTCAGCAAGGAAATAAATAGTGATGAAAACAAATTACGGCCAAAATCTATACGATATGTTACAAACCATGATATAAATTATTGCATCAAAGTTGTATCCTAAAAGAAAATTCAAACTTCTATATGAACCCAATGTATGATTTTTGTATGTACCTTGGTGGATTCATTCTCTGGATGAGTTTCTCATACTCATCATCCATGTTATGTGAAAAGCTCATTCTAACTTCTACAGCAAGTCACCAAAAAAAAAAAAGAAAAATAAAATTAGACAAAAGGTTGAGAGAATAAAAAGGAATCAATTGGTATAGGATTTGGATCAATGATGTTAATTTGTTTATATAAGTGATTTGGCTGTGTACCAGAAGCTTCTTAAGCTCAAGTTACAAATTTTATGCACATTATAGATATTTAAATTATGGAGAGGGGTAGCATATACCTTATAACTTTTTGCAAGCTGGACATGTCCATTGTGAACAGCAATATAATTTTTTTCCTAAGGCATTGGAAAAAGTATATTTAAACTTGTAATCAGATTAAACTGTAATTATATGATAGAAAACCATACAGTACAAAGATTGAAAAAAAAAAAAAAAAAGCCGAACACAATTAGTCTTGAAAAAGACTTATTAGTCAAGAATGGTTAATAACAGAAAATACAAATCACCGATGGAATAATGAGGAAAAATAAGAGCAGCCAAACTTGTATAGCATTAGGGTGAACTATGGTAATTTGTTGATATAACTGATCTACATCATTATATCTGTTGGTTTTTCAGCAGAGAAAAAGATTTATTTTGCTTTTTCCAAATGGAGTCTATGTTAAATGAAGTATCATTGGTCGTTAAATTGTTGGTATTATACGGTGAATAAGCTGGAATAATTAGTTTGGACAACTAACTGGAAAGGTGCTTAAAAAATGTATTGAATACACTGAAACAGTTCTGATTGAGAAATTTATAAAATGTACTAACTAATTGAAACAAACTGTTTGATTGTTTAGCTGCCACCATTGTTAACTAAATGATATGCATCATATTTCTATTGAACTGTTGTTTTCCTGTTTATATAACTCAGATTAACATGTGGTAGATAAGTTAAAAAATGTAAGTAACCACATTGTGTAAGAGCATTTTCTTTTGTGTTGGATATAAAATTGAAAACAGTGCGTTACTTTAATAAAAAAAACAGCAGATACAGCAGTATTGTAATGTGTTTTTTGAGTAAGAATTTCTGTTTTCATGTGTGGAGGATTTTGGTACACAATGGGAAGATTTTCTATGTCAACTTTACTGAACACAAAGTATTAAACCAAGAACTAATCTGTATTTGTGGAGGCATGTCCATGTATTTAACTGTAAAAAATGAAGATCTATTTATCAAACTTGATGAAATATGGTAATAAGCTAACCTTTGGAGGACCTGTAGTTGTTTAATACTGGTGTAACCTTGTGCCAACACAGAAAAACATAAAAGACAAAAAATATAATAAAAAAGCGAGGGGCAAAACAACCATTCGACTGTACAAATGTGAAAACAGCAAGGGAAACAGAGGAAAGCGAGGGGCATATGGGTCCGGCCACTGGTCATCAATAGTACTCAAAACTGAGTTTCAGTATATAGGATGATGATACATGTAAGTCTTGAATCGATTAAAAAAAAAACCTCTAAATGAGGTCTACCCTATCCCTCTCTTATACTCTTCTATCTTCCCTTTGTTTTCCTCCCCCAGTTCTAAATCATTCTTCCACAGTTGGCATCTCGATTTTATCTCACCTTAACATTTTATATCCAACCTGCAACCGAGCTCTCTTCAAATTGTATTTAAAATAATGAAGTGCTTGTATAAGAATGGTGCAAAAAGGAATAATGCAATCCAATTGCAAATCGGTCCAATAAAAAATTCAAACAAAAAAAAGCTCCTCATCTCTCTCATCAAACAAAAATTCCCAAATCCAACAGAATTCTTGATCACAACACATAACAAAAACTAATAAAACATTACTCAAATAACGATTTAATTTTTAAAATTTAAAATTAAAGAGAACTAAATACAGATACTTGGAAGAAAAAAAATGGAATGATTCCATACGTAAATCTCACCCTCAACAATTTTAAAACGCAATCATCCCAGTGCAAACAGAAGGTGGAAAATGTTGTCCCAGCACAAACACAACCTGCAAAACAAACAAACCAACACACAAAAAAAAACCAAATGATCAATGATAAAATTTAGAAACCCTACCACACAAAATCGTAAGAATAACATAAAAATTACCAATAAAAGTAAGCAAAAAACACACACGGTCTGACAATAAACGTCTTAACGCCAATGATGGCCTCAAACCCCAAACAAAACCCCAAATCAGTTAAAAAAATTAGTGAAAATGAACTGAACCCATTCCTCTATCATATTCTTTTCATCTGTTTTCCTATCCCAAATCTCTCTTCCATGCTTTCTCTGCCGCTTTCCCCTCACCCTCAATCCCATTTTCTTCCAAGTCTATAATAAAAACCACATGCATAAACACGCTAGAAATTTGCCAAAACCCAAAACATAGCCTAACTAAAAATCTCACCGATTAAAAGTTTCACCCAAAAAAAACACTCTATCTCTTTGATCAAACGAAAACTCCAAAACCAATTCAATGATTGATAACAACACATAACAGAATCTGACCAAGATTTTCCTCAAGGGATATCCCAGAATTTAAATTCACTCTAAGCCCATTTCCTAATTCTCTTAATTAAAGGCAACCCAGAAACAAAATAATGAAAAAAAATGAAAAAATTATTCTCAATATCCAAACAGCTCAAAAGCCCAGAACCAAAAAAAAAAAAAAAAAAAAACAGAATACCTTTGCGGGTTTGGATCTTTTTTCTTGTAATTGTTACAGTATTGGTGTTGCGCCTCAATTCGTGGTGTTTCCGTCAGTATATATCGAAGATGGGGCTGCGGGTTTGGGTGACGAAGAACAGGAGGAGGATCTGAGCCTACAAACAGAATCACAAAAAGAAAACATAAACACAAAACCCATCTTCAAATCTAAAACCACAAAAATAAATAAATAAAACACCCACACTGAGAAAGCCGTAAAACTCACCATGAAACGCCAACTTTTCTGGGTAAAAAATTGAATCAGATCTAATTGCACCGTTGTCGATAATTCCTGAGAGAAAGATGGAAGGTTGGAGGGCGAGAAAAATCGGCGTTTTGAAGACAGAAGGCTAGAGTTGGGAATATAGCAGAAACCGAGAATGGCGAGAGAGAGAGAGAGAGAGAGAGAGAGAGAGAGAGGTGAGAAGAAAAGTGGGTCAAAATTGAAACGGAAGGGAAAAAGTGAGAAGAAAAGTGGAGAGCAGGCGTCGCACAGCGATGGTCGACACGTGCATCCAATGGGCAAAACCGTAATCTCACTGTACAAAGCTGACCAAAAAGAGGAAAGCAAGGATAAACCGAGGGACAAAACGGTCATCACACTGGTCATCCACAGTAACCAGCCCTTACGAGTTTTAGTATATATGATTTCAAAATTACAGTCGTCTGATTCACTTATTTTGTTCATATCTAATATTTCTGGATTTTTCCACATACATTACAGAATTTAGTGACATTTGATAAACGTTGAACGAAGTCCTTCAATGAATCTCTCAAGGCGCTCGAATAATATTCAGTTTGCCAACACTGTAAGAACTCCAACTCTTTCTCTACTTACACAATTCCAAAGCAATGTGTAATAAACAGTGGAATTTTGATTCAAGTTGTAGTAATTGCCATGCAATTGTTTTTCCAATATGTTTATACACTTACGGTACTCCAATCTCTCTCTCTCTCTCTCTCTCTCTCTCTCTCTCTCTATCTGTCTCTCTCATTTCTTTTCGGTTTTGCAAATCTCTGACTTTCGGTGGTTTTGTTTTCTTCCAGTTGTCGATGAATTTTACGGACTTCCTTTGTAATCCTTGCTGCAGAAAGCAATCTCAACGCCACTGTGGGCGATACGAGCCACCACGCTACTGTTGGTAATTTTACTTTTCCGATTTTATATGAGTATGTGGTTTGTTTGATGAGAAAATATAGAAAACGAGAGAAATTTTTTGAATTTAGGGTTGCTATAACATGAATTTTCACTACGATTTGTGATTGGTTTTGGGTATCTTTCCTCTCTTATGCTTTTTACACTGCCTGCATCAACCCCTTTTCGTTTTTTGTCTTCTCTTCCAACTTATGCCCTCAATAATGATATTAGATAATGCATTTTTAAATTTATTGCTAATATTTTGAACTTTGTGTTGTACTAATGCCATAAGGCATTTTGATTTTTGACATTTTGTTATGTTGGTTGGAGAGTTGGAGACTTTTGCTCTCTTTGCATTTTGCTATGCTGGTTGGAGACTTGCGAACTATTGATTTTGAATGCTATTGCTCTCTTTATTCTTTAGAATCGAGTATTGGAATTTTGAATGGGACATGATTGGATGTATGACTTTGTGCTTTCCTAAATGGGTTTAGTTTTGTACAGCTTGAAATGTTGGTATTGTTTTTGTTCATGTAACTTTGGTTCATTGTTCGTTGTGGGATGAGATTTGGGATCTATTTTTTTGTTTCAGTTTTTACATATTGAATTTTCGAGAGCTATTTGATAAGAGTCAGGCCTGTTTAGAGTCAGGTTTTATAACTCAAACCATTTCCAATAGCTATTTGGTAATAGGACGAGTATTTAAGTATCAAAGAGTGGGGAATTCAATGTCTTATATTGTCAAATATAATGTTATTGTGTATGTATTTACTTTGCATAAACTTGGTCTCATTTTTGATTGAATTGTTGCAGTTCTTGGTATAAGGAGCTATAACTCCATTGAAGAAGTGAGAGGCATACGACAATATTTCTTCAGTCTGGTATGTCATTTTAACGATTAGAATTCCACAATTTGATTAGTTTTGATAATTTCCGGAAGAAGAAGGCCCTGTGTCCAAGTTTTAAAAAGCACACTTTGTAATGCTTCAAAATTTCATGCTTTTTTAGGAATTTAGACAGGCAGGATGTGGATACTTCTGACTTTATCAAGGTTAGTGAATTATGTGGTTTCTCCACAGGGTGCAGTTTTATTGTTACACTTTGTAAAGCTTCAAAATTTCATTCTTTTTTCAGGAATTTAGTAGTCCCCATCATCATCAGTTTGTCTGCTATTGCAGTTAGGGAAGCATTCCACAGAAGAAGGCAGGGTTATACCTTCAGTTTATTCACGCAAAGAACCAGTATGTCGAAAATATATGTTACTCGATTCTTAAAAGCTTTATGGCATGACAAAATAAATTTACAAATTGCTAATTTTTCTGTTTTGTATAAAATCTTTGTTCACTTTACCTAAACAGGTACACATGTTAAGTTTTCTTTCATCTTATCTTTGGCACAGAAAGCACCATCAAAATTTAAAACTTTTTTATTATTTTTTTTTCATTCGGCTGTTGAGGAAGGGATTGTTGTTGGTGGATGAAACCTTTAGGTAATTATTTGTTGCTTATTGAACTCCCCCAATCATGAGTTTTGACTCGAAAGAAGATTTTGATGATGACAGATACTAAATTAAATTTTGGCTCAAATTGTATTGAAAATTGCAGTTCGGAGCAATTTTTATGAGGAAGAAGGATGAATCCTAAACATATGTATGAATTTAGTCAATTTCTACGCGCTCCATTCAGTAGATGAATTGTAAACATATGAATTTCAAGCGCCTTAATTGAATAGATGCTTTTAATTCTTCTCTCATCTAAACCTTAGATTTTTCTGCTATTTTATTTCTTTGTTGTTTATATCATTGTTGTTTGAATATATGGTTAAACTTATTTCATTAATTGTTGATGCCGCGTGTTGATAATCATGGAAAGGTAGGGGTGCGATGGTCGTTTTAGTCTGTAGGGTTTTGAACGGATTGGGTGGGTTAGGGAGACTTTCATTTCCTTTCTTTCTATGAGCTGCAGAGGGACTCGGTGAGAGCATGCCATCAGGAGAGAGAGCGGGAGGAATAGAGATAAGGATTTGGTGGGAACTCATAATGTAGTAGATATTCCTCAATGCAAAGGTCCCAATCCTAATGACTTTATATTTGATATTTAATCCTTGGATTAGTGTTAAAATCTATATTTTTTAGTTTAATTTGTGTTTTCGTTTCTGTTTTTGCAGCTCATCCTCCAAGTATAAATGCTGTTGTGGAGCTACTTAAACAAGGTCCCTTTTCGGTTATTAAAACTCAATGTTACCTGCTTTCATTTCCAGTTTTTGAGTCTTCTATTTGTTTGCTTGCTGCAATTATTCAACTTATGCTGCTATAATATTTGTTTCCTTTTGTTTTGTCCTCGCATTAACTACCATTTGGATCATGTGAATGACAACTTTCATGTATATTTCGAATAATGAGCAGTTTATTACTGTTAATTTTTTGATCACGGTATATGTTGCTAATTTACCTTCTCAAACAACGTAGATGTAAACATTGATATATAAAACTTATATGTTAATCAACCAATTTAAAAATTGGATTTTAACTGATGGTCGTCCATGGTTCCTTACTTTCCAGATATTGCAACATGCATAAATTCACTTGGAAATTATTCATGTCAATGTCCCCAAGGATAGAAACATGAAGGCATGGATGAAAAGAGTTGTATCAAAGACAACAAATGGTCAAAGGCCATTCTCCTCATTATTTCATTAGGTATGCATGTTTTTTTCACATGTTAATATATTGCATATACGAGTCTAAATTTATTTTATTGGAGCCACTTTTGTATCCAAAATTCTCATAAAGTATGTCATTGATGAAAGTTATATTCTGCTGTCTTTTAGTGATCTTCATGTTTTTCGTACGAAATAAGATTGTTAGCTTCTACGGTAAGCAGTTTTAACTATCAGGGATTTGTTTTCATATTGCATGAAATTTCCACTTTTTTCATCTTTGAATGGTCTCAAGCATAGTAAATATAATAGCACTAGAAAGTGAGGAAATCCACTTTCTTTTGTTAGGTTGGATTCTCTACTATGACTATCATTTTTATCTCTAAACAAAATTTTAATGGTATGTATGATATAAAAGGGTAAATTTAACTATTTTGGTTTCTTTGTTCTCATACTTTGGTGCCTCGAGTTTTAATTTTTCATAGTTGTGTCTGAGTTGTTTTCCAGTTACTATTCGGGTGCCATTGGCAACTTCTAGGGGACCAAAATTGTTTTCAGGTCAAAATACAGGAACCAAATCGTAACTAGACTAGGAGATTACATTACCAAAGTAGGAAAGTTTGGTCTTGATTCATAGTTTGGCAACATAATATGTATGTAGGATGTTGTTTTGGAACCACTTGGTAAGTGTTAAATACATCCTATAACATGATTGACTAACAAGCATGGTCGTTCAGATATACATGCAATTTAGATCACTGACTAAATCAGATTTCTTTTATATTGAAGCAAATCTTGCCTATTAGGTGTTTGTGAAAATTCCCCAGAGAGTTAGAAACAAGGATATGATGCAAATCTGAATGTAGGCTGTTTTGGTATCTGTGTGTATGTATAGGGGTGTTATATTGATATGACATGCTGCCTAATTTATCTATTTTTCGATTGTTAGATCAAAGAAGGAAGTTCAATTTATCAAGGATCAAGGTTTGGACTACTAGACAGCACACCGGCTTTGGTTTGAGGTATGGAAGTCTCGAGCTTGCAATCTTAAATTTCTGGCTCCTGAATAAGAAATATGCTCTATTTGATCCCGAATAAGAAATGACATAGGTCTGTGGCTTCCATCGTTATTAAGTTGTATCCTTTTCTACTTGGGTTACAAAAAACCATTATAATGAATTAATCAAATTTTTTATTCTAAGGAAGTATGTATTCAACATTGTTTTTTTCTGAACAATTTCAATTAATATAACTATGACCATTTGTCTACTATTTTATATCTTCTGTTTTGTTTCCTTTTTGAAGACTCCCATTGCCATGTTGGTCTCTTGCTGCTAATTGATTTAGTTGGGGTGTCTTAACAAGAGTGTTGTCTTTACGGAGTCTTTTTTTTCTGTGGTGTTACATTTTACGGGTTGGTGTTACTTTATGAATTTGTAGTTAGTAAGATTTAACAATGCCTTTTTTTGTTTGCTTTACTTTGTTACATCTTGATAAACATAGGTTCAGCAACAGGTTGTTGAAATGATCACTTATATAGCCTCTACTACAGAACAATTTCCTAATAAATGTGTATTACTTTGTCTTCTGGGTGAGCGTTCTCTAATTTAGATTAGACAACAAGACTTGAAGCTTGGTTTGTTTTCTGTGTCTCCTTCACTCTATCTGTTCTGTGAATGAACAGGTAGATGTCAACTCTAGCAGTTAACGGTGTTGTGCACCTTGACAGGTATAGGTATATGTGAATGGCTCACAGGGTTTTTCTGAATCTGTAAGTCCAGGATTTATTTTTGAAAGGGTAAGTGGTGTGATTCTTTTAATTCTCATCTTCAGTTCAAAAGTTTGTGTGCAAAGTTTTTTGTTGCAGTTTTATTCTTCTGTATGCATTATGTTTATCTTGAAGTAAAGGTTGCTAATCTTTTATTTCTGAGTGTGTGCTACTCGGTCTCCAATCATTGTTCATATTTTTCGAGGGTATAAATGGGAAGGCAAAATGCATTCCAATAACTCGGAATTCAACCTCCACCAAATTGTAAGGAATCCAATTCCTCCAAATTTTGGAGTTGGATTCCAAAATTTGCATGATCTCCCAAATTTTTTATTCCCCAATATTGGGTAAACACCGGAGTAGTCTGTAATCGACTTTCAATTGCTTTTTTTTGTTCCGATTACCCTTACATAAATGTATTTATGATCTTTTAGTTTCAAGAGCCCAACTGTTGTTGCAAAATGTGCTATAGATGGAGCAACTAATGTCTTTCTTACTTATTGTTGGGCTCTTCTATCTTTATGTGAGGCATTTTGTACTATTGCTTTTGTAACGTTGGGATGTTTCAAGATTTATGACTTTGTGCGTTCTCTCTCTCTACACACTTTCTTCCCTTGCTCCTTCTCTCATGTAGAGCCATTTTATGGTACAATGTGTTTATCGGTTCTCATGTCCAAGTTTTTCTTTCTGCTTTCAATTAAGTTTTGTTTTTATGTTATGTTTTCATGGAATCTCTTGCACAGATTTCAATTACGTTGTACTTGAATGTCCTGAACTCAAGTCAATTAGGATTTTTTTTTTTGGTTGAAACCATTGAATTTTGTTGTACTTGAATGATATAGATGTGGGGAATACATTTGCATAAGGATTAATTTTAACCATTGAATTTTATTTCATTTTTCCTTGGAGCTTGAGTAACAAGATCATCAAATTGTTATATTCGTTATCTGTGAGAATAAATCTACATGCATAACAATATTGTTACACTTCTACTTTTATTGGGTTTTTATACAGTTTGTGTGTTTGCTTAGTCTTGCCTTGGAGTTGGATCCACTTTGTGTAATGGATTGTGATTTGTTTGAAAATATCTTTACTGATGATTTTGAGTATAATGTGTTTTTCTAATACTGTTTCTCGCCCTTTGTAATCCAGTTGTGCAAAAGACATCTCCATTAACCGGTAATAGCTGAAATCGTTTGTTGTCGAAGTTCACGTGCAGAAGAGCGAAAATGCTGCAAGTGAAGGATAGATAACAGCTCAAGACACATGGTATGAGGGTGCAGGTAAATTGTACATATGCATCTGGAAAAAGTTAAAAGTTAAGGCGGGTTGGCTATAACTTCTCCTTCTCGCCACAACAGGAAATACTTTTGAACTGCATTAAGATGTTAATAAATTAAGCTTAAGCTATATTTTACTTATTAAGAATGGGTAAACTGTTTTAAATAGAAAAATTAAGTGCTTATATCAGGTAAACTATCAATTTTACAAAGTTTTCTGGTAAATTAGATATATAGTCTAATTTGAAGAGTTGTGTTGACCTTTACTTTTGTTAAATTATATAGTTTAATTGCGTCCTCTTTTTCCAATCCTTATATATCTGCTCAACTCTTGGTCAATTATTTGCCAGTAGGAATGTTTAATTGCTTGATCAATGATGTCCATTCAATTTGGAGAAGAAATAGGACTTTTGTCCAATAGGGATTTGAAATAGGGATTGAGACTCACATATGAGTAAGATGTCTCAATTGTTCATTGATTCTTAGGTGCTATGTCTTTTTAGTTGCTTTGTGGGGAAACTATTCATGCCTGTTGCGATTAATACATTCAAGTTCCCGCAGCAACGCGCGGGCATATTTTCTCGTGTAGATTTAAAAGAGACTTAGAAATTTACAAATCAAATGGTCAACACACCTCCAATCAATATAGAAACTGTAATTATCTGTCATCGTATTATTTATACAAATAGAAAGGTAAGTGTGTGTGTGTGTATCTGTCATCATAATATATATATATATATATATATATATGAAGTCCTAATCACAATTTCATCATTCCTATTTTAATTACCAATTAATTAAGCATTTTTTCGATCCTAAAATTACTAAGCATATGTGATGCCCAAGCTGATTACCTAGAAGTTAACTACATCGTTTGGTGGTTTGAATGCTGATGAGGGCGTGCCAATTCGTTGCCAAGCTCAGCTGGGCGAATGACACACCTCGACCTAAATCAGCGCATGCTGGCCGTCATGTAAGGGTGACGTAGCCATGTGCACAGTGCGGAAGCAATAGAGATGTAAGGAATTATGATGGAATAAAAACCAAACTACTAGCAGAACTAGATAAGATAAGGTGCCAGTGCGAGATTAAGTGTGAAATACACAACCAGAGCATAAATAGCCTAAGTGTAGTCAAGCAGGACAAGTGCTAATTATACAACACCCAAGGTTGATCCTACATTTATGATGTTCTGTCAGAACCACCGTTGAAATCCCGTGAGCCACCCAAGCCTTCTACCTAAAACCTGGAGGAGCGTAAAACAGAAAGTGTGAGTGGGCAAAAACAAAGCTTTTCAAAATCATTTCATTTCTCAAAAGTTATAACCCTTCGCCGTAAAACTTGTATAATTTCCCAGAAAATAATAGTAATAATAAGTTGTATCAGAAATCATACTCAAGATGAAAATCCATGAAGTATACCATGCCAAAGTATCTCAATGCAATGCCATAAGTAATCCAGACAAATATATTAATGTCAAATATTGCATCAGCCAAATCCTTTTAACTCAATCTGTACGACTGAGTATATAGCTCAAAACCAATCTCAATCATATCAAATCAAATCGTGCACACGAGTTGGAACCACCTAAAGTGGTCTGTATGACAAGACTAGGTGTAAAATAAATATGCTCTAGTGCTACGATCACGTGAAGGCTGTGCGAATAATCGCGGGTCACCTACGAGTCGAAACCACTTAAAATGGTCAGTATGACAAGCCTGTGCACCTAACTTGGATCCAAGGTGAGCATATGGTGCAGGAGGTGAACATCACGTGAAAGACTGTGCCCTAACTCTGGGCGGGAGCACTTCGGCCGAGGAAGGAACAGTCTCGGCCTTGAGTTAAAAAAAATACAAGGTTATGCAACTCACTACGAAGTTTTGGTTCAACAACCTCAACTATATTGGTGAAAATATAGGTCTGTCGAATCAGCATTGAACTGTATGGACACTCAAAAAAGATGATTGTTTTAATCGTCAAAACGGTTCGGCTGTCTGTTGGCTAAACTTTAAAATGTGACATGAGAATAACGAATCATAAAAGACTTCACTTCGCCGAGAAGGCTAATGAAGTGATCGACCAAGAGAAAAAGTTGTTTACCAACTTCTTGCGGGCCAACAAGGATGTGTTTGCCTGGTCTGCAGAAAACATGCCCGAGATTGATCCTTCTGTGATCTGCCACCGCATCCACTAGGTGCAACTACCGAACCAGTTATCCCGCGAAAGTGAAATTACGAAACAGAGCGGAGCAAGATCATAGAAGCCAAGATTGACAAGCTAAAAGATGCCAACTTCATCATTGAGGTGTGCACCATCCAGACTGGCTAGCGAACGTAGTGCTAGTGCAAAAGAAAATTGGCAAGTGGAGAGTACGCGTGGACTTCACGAACCTAAACAAAGCTTGTCCAAAGGATTCGTACCCGCTCCCATGGATCGATCTGCTAGTAGATTGAACTGTAAGTCATGAACTACCAAGCTTCATGGATGCTTACTCCAGATACAATCAAATAAAGATGTATGAGCCAAATATGGAAGAGACATCCTTTGTTATTGACCGAGGTACGTATTGTTACAAGGATATGCCCTTTGTTCTTAAAAATGCAGGGGAAACATACCAATGATTTGTCAACCAAATCTTCAAAGAAAAAAATGCAAGAGACACGATCTCTAGACATTATTAAAAGTTTTACCGAATTTTCTAAATCATCTTGATCATCTAAGAGGGATATTTGATCAATAAGAGACAATATTGTCTTTTCTCCCATGGTTGCAACGGATTGCTACGATAGGCTTAGGTTTAAGATTCTCAATGCCGACTGCCAATAACAAGTTGCACGGCAAGGATTATAAATTTGTGTGCTGCTTAAAAAGCACAAAGCAGCACCGAGTAAATTTTGATTTTGGGTAGAATGGATTGTCCAAAACACAAGACAATCAACAAATTAGGGGGCTAGCTGTAGAAACTCATGATTCTGTGAGAGAACAATTAGAGGTAGAGAGAGAAAGAATTCTAAAGAGAGAGATGATTGAAATAGAAGGATTTCATTACACTTTCAGAACATGTACAATACAATATATATAGATGCAACCACCTACTCTACCAACTATATCTTCACAGATAAGAAATCTTTTAATCAGATATAGACTTAGTTGGTGGTCCTATTGTATCCTTAACACACCCCCTCAAGCTAAAGTTAGGGGTTTTAACTGAAAGCTTGGAAGTTAACTCGGCAAAGCGATGAGAAGGCAAGGATTTGGTGAAAATATCTGCCAGTTGAAGAAGAGATATAACATGATGAACACTAACTGTGCCACTGAGAACCTTTTCCCGAATATAATGGTAGTCGATTTCAACATGTTTTGTCCGAGCATGGAAGACAGGATTGAAGGCCAATGCAATTGCGCTCTTGTTATCACAGAAAATCGTAGGAGTTTTGAGGATAGGAAAAGAGATATCTTGCAGAATCTTACTGATCTAATTGAGTTCAGCAGCTGTATTGGCCAGAGACCTATACTCAGCTTCAGTAGACGAGCGGGCAACAGTGCATTGCTTCTTGGCACTCCAAGAGATGAGATTAGGTCCAAGAAAAGCACAATAGCCACTTGTGGATCGTCTATCAATAGGACAACCTGCCCAGTCCGTATCATACCACGCAGTAAGGCTTTGACAACCTTTAGTAAACCATAAACCAGAATCAAGAGTACCCTTCAAATAACGAAGTATTCGTTTAACTGCTTGCAAATGAATTGTCCGAGGAGAATGCATATACTGACAGACTTGGTTAACAGCAAATGCCAAATCGGGTCTCGTCCATGTAAGATACTGTAAGGCCCCAACAGTGGATCTATAAAATGTAGGATCGGAGAGTAGAGTACGAGAGTGATCCAGTTTGGCATATGCAACAGGAGTGGAGCAAGGTTTAACACCAACCATATTAGTCTTCTTTAACAAGTCAAGAGCATATTTAGACTGATGAAGAAATAAACCTTTGGCAGATCTGTGAACCTCAATTCCCAAAATGTAGTGAAGATCACCCAAATCCTTGACGGGAAACATAGTTTGTAATTGAGAAATGATGGAGGTGCAGACGGAGGTAGAGCTCCCTGTGATGAAAATGTCATCAACATAGACTAAGATGAAGGTGATGGTAGAATCCTTTTTGATAAACAAGCTGGTGTTAGAGGAAGAAGCCGAGAATCCCAAGGACAGAATAGCTTTGTAAAATGCTTCATACTAGGCCTGAGGTGCCTATTTTAAACCATAGAGATAACGCTTGAGTTTACACACATGTTGTGGGTGGTTGGAATCAACAAAACCAGGGGGCTGGATCATGTAGACATCCTCTTTTAAAGTACCATGCAAGAATGCATTACTTACATCAAGTTGATGAATGAACCAGTCATAGGAAACTGCAATTGACAATAAAATTCGAATAGTAGTAGGCTTAGCAACCGGACTGAAGGTCTCAGTAAAATCAAGACCTTCTTGTTGATGGAACCCTTTAGCCACCAGCCGAGTCTTAAACCATTCTATCGAACCATCTGGTCTATGCTTGACTTTAAAAACCCATTTGCAACCTACTAAATTCAATTCAGGATGAAAATGAACTAGATCCCAAGTCCCAGTAGATTGCAAGGCTTGAAACTCAGCCTTCATGGCTGCCATCCAGTTTGGATTCTTGAAAGCTTGTAAAAAAGTGGTAGGTGTTGGAGGAAGACAAGTAATGGAATCAACAGAAGCAGGAAGAGAGTGTTTAGTTGCAGTGAAGACTTTTGGCTTGTGAATTCTAGCTTTATCCCTTGTAAGCATAGGATGGAAATTAATAGGTATAGGTGCAGGTGCGAAGGAAGGAGTAGATGAGGAACACTCTGTTATATTGCAGGGAATATGAGATGAAGAATCAGCAGATGGTGAAGAGGCTGAAGGTTGTGAGACACTATCTGGATGAGCCAACTGAACTGTACTTGTTGAAGAAGAAACAGGAATAGTCATAGGTATAGGTGCAGGAACTGTACTTGTAGTAGAAGTATCTGAAGACAGAATAGAACCTGAGAACATCCCAGTCTTGAAAGGAAATAATTATTCATCAAATGTAACATGCCGAGAGACATAGAGTTTATTAGCCACAGGATCAAAGCATCTGTATCCACTATGATTAAGACTATACCCAAAAAATACACACAATTTACTCTTTGTATCCAGTTTATGCGATGTAGGGCTGCAACCAAGGATAGCAAGCACAACCAAAAGCCTTAAGATTATGATACTTAGGAGGCGCTTTGAATAGTTTCTCCCAAGGACTAACAGAAGAAGATTGAGGAGGCAGGCGATTGATGAGATACACAGCAGTTTGAAAAGCTTCTACCCAAAATTTTGTTTCCAAACCACTCTGAAAAAGAAGAGTCCTGCCCATTTCGACAACATGTCTATGTTTCCTTTTGGCACACCCATTTTGTTCAGGTGTATGAGGGCAACTTAATTGATGTGTAATCCCTTGTGCATTAAGAAACCCCTAAAAATCCTTGCTTAAAAATTCACCACCAGAATCAGACCTTAGACATTGTATTTTACAAT